GAAAGAGCTGTCAACACAAGTGCATGTGCAGAGATGCAAGAGGAAGCCACCCGATATGTTTACACACTTTTGCACTGTCAAAATAAAGGGGATGGGTCTCTTTTAAAAACTACCTATATATTTAAAGTTTCTATCCATCATTTGTGAAATACGCTTATACCATTTAATCCTCACTACCAACACCACCACCACCACCACACCACAGCCCCTCCGGCACAGGCTGTTGTAAAGACACAACTGTTCTCCCTCAGACTGCCGAGGCAGCTCCTCCCTCACCCATTGGTGCTACACCATTCTCCCTCTGCCTCTCACGGTAAAATCCTCGGTGTTCATATCTGTGGCTCTTTGATGCTTTCAGTCATTCTACCAAACAAAATCCATTTGTTCTTCGGAACAGCTTATCCATCCTCACATCCATTCAGCATGCTGTAACAGCGAACAGGCCTACTCACTCCTCTTCCTCTGCTCTCCACACCTCTCCATCAATGTTCTTTGGGTACTACTTTCATCATGTTACTATCTGCCTAATCAGAAGACCTCCAGTTGCTCTCTATCCTGCCTGTAAAATGCTATATTCCATCAGTGCTGGCCAAGAAAATTTTCTGCAATGATGGAAATATTCTATATCCGCACTGTCCAAAATGGTAGCTGCCAGCCACAAGTGGCAACTGAGCACTCTGCAATCGAAGAACTGAATTTTTAATTTTATTTCGTTTAAATTAACTTAAATGGCTACATGGGCTAGTGACTACTATACTGAACAGAGTAGATCTATACAATCTCATCTCCACGTATTCTCCCATGTGAACTGTCCTCTCCAGTCAAGCCAGATCCCTCACCACCACTGATAACACCATGTCCATACCTTACTTCTAAGACTGTGCTCCCTTCTCTCGTTCTGCTCTTCCCTTTCTCCACGGCCAAATCTGTCCAGGCTAACAGAGCCCCCCATCTTTCCTGAAGGCTTCCCTATCATTTCTGCCAACATCTCATTCCTCTCCCTGCTATGAACCGTCACTGTGTAACCATCTGTATAACTCATCCAAGCACCTGAACAAGTACTGCTTGTGCTGTCATTTAACTCTTCAAGCATCTGAGCCCCAGTGAAAGAATCTATTCCTCTAAGACCAGGTCCTCCATTCACTAACAGGTGCTTCACAAACACTGGGTGAATGAGCTAAGGGTACAGAGCACTACATTTTGGTCTTCTTTGGACAGCAAGACTTCTCTTCACTAGAACCGAATGGAAAATTTAACTCCAGCCCCCCTGCCCCATATCCAGATGCTTGGGAAACCCAAGTTATTGTAAAGGCATCATGTACACAGACCCTGAAAAGGCTTTGACCTCTATGTATCTTCATCTGCTCTGAAAATGCCAAGGAAAAATAAGAAAATGCTACCTGCAAATGCAAAATCTGTTAACTTCAAAGCAGGTTTCTGGAGATGGATTAAAAAGTCCCAACAGAAGGAAACTGAAGCTCTTGCTCTGTAAAACCATCAAAAGCGAAATTAAGGAACACTTGACTTCCTTATTTCTTCTGGCACTAGTGACAAAGTTGTCATTATTTAAACACAGTCCTCAGATCTGGATGGAAAGAGCCTCCAGGCTACAAAATGTTGGAGCTGACCCATCAGACATGTATTGTTAAGGCTAAGGCAGGTAATTCATTTAAGAGATCAGAAGGCTGATAAAGCCCTCTTTGTAAGAGAAAAATGTGACACAGCAATAGCCAAGCAAGAGGCATAGCCAGATTAGTTCAACTCCTGCTATGGAAACACATTTCCCAGGAAGAGATAAAATGTTGCTATTACCAAATAGGTCCTCTTCCCTAAAAGGAGGCAACTGAGAAGATTAAAGCTTGGGTAATTTAAATTCTGCAACCCTTCAGAGCTTTGATTATTTATGCCAACTATACTTATGCAAGAATAAACTGTTTTAATTGCTCATTTTAAACCCGCTTCTTTCTGAGCACATCTCCACTTGCACTCTCATCTTCTGGTACTGTTTGGGCTCTGAGGCCATTTCTGATTAGCACACACACAGCATATTAATCCACTACACAAAGTCCTCTTCACTGAGGCTGGACACAGAAGTCCAGAGTCAACAAGAATACAATGTGATGGCAGGAAATCACTCTTAAGTTTTTCTCAAAATCTAAATGTGAGTCAAATGGAAAGGCTCTTCTGATTTCCCTTTTTTAAACGGGCTTGGGAATCATTCACAGGATTTGAACCCTAGGTCCACCATAGCTACAACCTCAGACAAGTCAGTTACCCCCTGGAACCCTCACTTCACTGGCTCTAAAGTGGAAATACTGACCAAATCTTTTGTCTCTTGTGAAGATTAATGAGGGAATGTGTATAAGTGCCCACCAGGGTACCCTGCCAAGAAGAAGTTCTCAACCAATACCAGCACCCTAACCCACCTTTCCCTTCCTTGAGAAAACAGAGAGCAACATCATCTTAAGAGATGGACCCTATTCTAACAGAAATAGCTATAATCACTGGATATTGTTTTGTTTTGTTCATTTTAAATGAAGAAAAGAATCCAGGGCCAAAGATCTACCTTCCTATGATGTCCTTCTACTGTCAGGATGTTCAAGGCAAACACTCAGTGCTAAGGAAAAAGAGAAATGCGAAAGGACATAATAAACCAGATCTGTTGGGGTTCTGGAAATTTGTTTTGTAATTAGAATGGCTCTTCCCCTTGAAAATCTAATAAATGTGGGTTTCATCCCAATCATATGGCAGGCAGTAAGTATCCCATACATAACCTTGCAGCATGCTTAGAACAGAATTTATACCTCACATCTATCTATCTGCTTCTAAAAAAGTATTTAGTTTGTGGGCTTCCCTGGTGGCGCAGTGGCTGAGAGTCCGCCTGCTGATGCAGGGGACACAGGTTTGTGCCCCGGTCTGGGAAGATCCCACATGCCGCAGAGCGGCTGGGCCCGTGAGCCATGGCTGCTGAGCCTGCGCGTCCAGAGCCTGTGCTCCGCAATGGGAGAGGCCACAACAGTGAGAGGCCCACGTACCGCAAAAAAAAATTTTTTTTAAGTATTTTGTTTGTAAGGTAAAAGAAAATGCCTTTTGGTTTTCCTGAGGGAGACCTAGAGATGTGTTCAATAGACCACAAATCTTGGGGACACCAAAAAAAAAACAACTTTATAATTGAAGGATCTGAGAAATGAACCTCTTTAAATGTGTCCTTATGGTCATTTTAGTTAGTGAATCATCAGCGTCCAATATAAACCTTCTGAGTCAGTGTTAAGAATCACAACCATCCATTCTGGAGTGTCATTAACCATAAAGTGCCCAATGCCCACTGGAACACTTTGGCAACCAGTAAGGACATTATTCTAATACAGAAAAACATCAAAGACCTGCAGGAGCTGCACTTTACAAGAGAAATGCCTCACTTACTGTTCAAGGGCCTTGACCTTGCCTTTTTTTCACTGGTCCAGGGCTAAAAAGCCACCCACCCTCCTGAAGATAAGTATCTGATCAAGTAATTCACCAGGATGGCTATTACTGACTTCCCTACATCCCAAGTTACAACCCACCTTTTATTTTCCTACTGAAGAAGGATTTCAATTAATAACTGTAAACTACTCTGCAATGTGTCTACAGCCCAAAAGACATTCTAATCCTTACCTGTTCTACTTTGAAAAAGAGTTCAATGCTACCTTTTCAAATATTTCTCTCTTCTTCGGCGTTCCCACAGCTACCTTTTTTCCTCTGACTTAGCCCACTTACCACCAGACTTACACCACAACTTCTCTGTGTGTGTACTCTGAATCCTAAATTCAAGCCACTGCCTCCTGCACACTGGCTGGGCTAATTATTTGCAGATCCTGCTACCTGACCAGATCTATCACAACCCCTATGAAACTTCAGGCAAATCCCTCAATCTCTCTGTAACTCAGTTTCTTCACTCTTCCCGCAGAATGAGCTCAACCACCCCGAAAATACAATGATCCCTATGACTCATCAAATTGTTCTCCAGTCCTGACCTCTCCTACAAAGTGCATCCCCACACGGAGCGCTGACTATGGGACAATCACTTGGGTGCATCATCACAACTTTTTCTCCAGAAAAGTAAAGTGATGAGAGGAGAAAGGAAGTGACTTTCTCTGGAATAATCCGGATCTCCTTATTCTTGACCCCTATTGTCTCCTTGTGCCTTGTAGACCTTCAGGTTTGGCCTGGCCACATTTCTTCTAGAATTAGCCTGAGTCCTGAGATAAGAAGCATCCAAAGACCCTTTCATGCTCCTCCTTCAGAAGTTTAAAAATCTTTCATCCCCTTCAGCTGTTAGTCTGGGGGAGGATTTATTTACTGTTGCTAATGTCCAGTTGCTAGGTTGCTAGGTCCCCTAGTGCTTAGTGTGTGGGGCTGGTGCTAGGGCCTATTTTGTTTTATAAATACCAACCTTTGCTTCATGTGCCTGGCTTTTTCTTTTAAAACCTGATAGCATTCCCCATCCCCCCTATCCTTTCTGGGAAAAGTCTATGCTTTTTTTTTCCCACTGGGGTATGGCTGTTTTACAATGTTGTGTTAGTTTCTACTGTACAGCGAAGTGAAGTGGAGTTCCCTGGAAAAGTCTGTGCTTTTATCTTGACAGTGAGAAGGGCTCTAGAGCCAAAGGGTACATGTACTATGTTCATAAAAATTATTAGCAGCCACGTGGTTTGCTGCATGTTGTTTACTGTAAACAAGTGGCTCAGACCATAAGTCCCATAATGGCTAGAGATAATAGTTCAGGACTCAAGAGACATAGGCACTATGACTAGCATGCCTTTTCAATTCGCTAAATGACTAGGTAGGTTAGTTATTTCACAGAATACATCTCTGGAATAAAATCAGATACTCTAGGCTACACTTTGCAGGGATGCTGTACATATCTCCTTACAATTATAAGGAAGTTACATATGCACAATAGAGACATCGTTATCACATTTATTTCCTTGTTAGCAATACTTTTAATCACAAAGATGACATTACTGACTATTCAGGACTCACACAAGGTAAACTTAATCAAATTTAAGTTTACCTTAAATTGGGAAGGGAAACAAATGAGCACCTTTATTTTTTTTTAATGAGCAACTTTTAAAAGGCAAAAAGAAGCAAAGTGCTACAAAATAACTGGCTAACTGGCCTATACTCTTCCAAAATGTCGGTATCATGAAAGACAAAGAGAAGCAAAGGAACTGTTCCTGATTAAGAGATTAAAGAGACTGTAAATAAATACAGTGTGTAATTCTGGATTAAATCCTGAACTGGGGAGAAGAGGGGAGGAGGATGCTATAAAGGACATTATTGGGATGATCAGAGAAATTTGGATATGGACTTACGTTACATAAGAGTATTACATCAATGTTACAATTCCTGTTTTTGTTAATTGTACTGTGTTTCTGAAAGAGAATGTCCCAGTTCTTAAGAAATCTATGCTGAAATATTTAAGGAGAATAGGGTATGATGCCAGGGAAAAGCAACTTTCAAACAGTTCAAAAAATATATGTAATACAGAAAATGATAAGCAAATCACATTTAGGTCACACCTAAATGTTAATAAAAGATAAGTAGAGGTGAAGTTGCATTCTTCTAACTTTTCTATAAATGTGAACTTATTTCAAATAAAACATTTAAAAAATTTAAAAACATGGGAAATGGAAGACTAAACTTGGGTTACTTATTTTAAAAAGGGCTTTATATGTGCAAGTCTCTATCACATTAAGTGGGATGGGATTTGTGTGTTTTATGTAACAATTATGGACAGCAACTGTGCATGTCAGCTTGGTATACATAAGAAAGACAATGGGTTTGAGAGTCACGATTTCTGGGTAAAGCCCTAACTTTTGCATATACTAAATGAACCATCTTGAGCTCTTATTTCCTCAAGTATTATGAGGGTAAGAATGAAGCTTCCTCCACCCTCACAAGGTTGCTGTG